TTTCCGTCTTATCTATTGACTCGATGGCTGCATGTTTTTGTTAGGTAATTATAATCTAATAATGCTCCTTGTTTTAGTCTTTGTGTATCTACGAGTCGCAGTTCTGGGGTGAGATCATTTGTGCGAGTTGTCCGAATGCCAGAACAGTCGTAACCGGAAGTACGAATACGGTAATAAGCAGTATTATCAGTGTAGAAAATTTTTTACTTGAGCTATATCGCCAAAGAAACTTAGTGTTCGGTGCTGACTAAGGCAACTGTGATTTAGCCTTTTCACCAGTTATGTTAAACGTTACTATAACAATATTTCGTGATTATTATTTGTCAAGAGGTATTAGGTAGATAATCCAAGGCGTCTCTTTCAGCTTATTTATATCTTGTCATTTGTCAAATAAAATCACTAAAGAAATACTTTTTCTTAAAGAGCTTCTCTTGGTCCTGTGCACAACTATTATTTCAGTCATTCGTCTCATTTCCGATGAAGTGTGTAGTCTCATACCGCGGATAGAGAAAGGCCTCATACCATAGACTGAGATTGTTTTGTCGCCAGAGCATTAGACACACAACCAAAAATTTCGGAGTTCGAGTTCCGGTCAGGTCACTCGCATTTGTTCCTTCCAAGTGAGATAAATAAGTTTGGCGTTGTGAGGAGGAAACAGAAGACTATATACCATGCTTTCGCGTTGCTGCTGTCGATTTTGCCTTTAAAATAGTGTACTTCTGACTGACGGCATGAAAATAGAAATTAGCGCGTCGCCATTAACTTCGTGAAAAGACGGGCACCGGACGTTGCCATACCTTGTAAAATATTAGATTGACATTCCTAGGGTTACAAACTTTCCTTTTTCCTTCCTTGTTCGAAAAGGAATCAAGAGTCAAATTTTTTATTATTTGTATAAATTTAAAATGTTATGTAATAACTTCTTTTGGCTTTTAATTCCGAGCTTTTATTTTCTTTCATGTGTAGGTCGTTTCGGTGTGGGAAATAGTCACACCATCGTCCAGAAGCTCGGGCGTCAGGCTGGAATTACGAAAGTCGTTGTACGGTCACACGGAACCCATTTCTTGTGTATATGCTTCC